TTGAAAAATAATTAGGGTTTGAAGATGGTAGATGGTATTGGGGTGGATATGTAAAATAATTTTGTTTTTGCAATATTATTATTAATATTTATAATAATATATTATTATCTGATTTTTGTATAAAAAAACGTCAAATTTGATTTTTGAAGTTGAATCTTAAAAATTCTAGTTGGGCGTGATTTCCACTTTTCATTTTTTCTGGTCCAAGACAAAATTATCCTAGAATATCATCATAGATTATTGATGAGTGCATTCCATTATAGCGGAAATATTCCCCCACGGCACACCCAAAAATGGGGCCAAAAATTGCGGAGGAGCATAGAAAAAATTACAACCCCACCTTAGCTAAACCTTATTGCCAAAATGTGTAAATAATGAAACTCATTTAGGTAGAATCCGAGAGTAATACTCAACGATACAATAAAAAAAAAAATTTGCCTGGGTAAATAATCATAATACAGGAACACATGGGTTTATAGACATAAAGTTAAGGAATGTGGGGACGTCCCCAATCCATGATTCAAAAGAGGGCCCAAAGATGATTAAAGAGAGTCGACAATCTAGACATCTCTAATTCATGTGAATGAATGATTTAGGAAACCACGTCTGTCATGATTTTGTTGTCTCCCTATTTCTAAAGAAACCCCCAAATTAGTTACACACAAGATCCCACTCTTGCCCCCATTCATTATTCGTATGCTTAGAGATGTTCAGTATATAGTCATTGATATGACCGAGTCATATGATAGTCAAAAGTCTCACAAAACTGACTGAGGAGCCTTGAAGAGTTCAAATGAAGAAACTTTTAAGTATTTTATTTTATCTACAACTCTACTTCTAGAATAAATATAATGCTCCTCTTTCAGTTTTCTGTGAGAAGAATTTTCTAAATTGCATTTGTTTTCTCCATATTGTTCAGTAATAAACATTGTTCCTCTGCGATTGACCTTTTTTGTTCTTTTTTACTTTAAATCTTGTTTTCGTGGTGTGATCTTGTTTACTTCAATATTGTTATTAAATCTTATTCTTTACAATTCGTTGGAATCAACAAATTGTTTTCGAGCTTCCTCTCCCAACAAAAAGTTCTATATTTTTCTTATTGAAATTGTCAAGTACGGTATGGTTCGAAATTTAATCATGTCACTCTATTGGGATAACCAAATATCACTTCGTTTCCAAAAAAAAAAAAAAAAAAAAAAAAAAAACATTTTTCCTTGGTTTCTTATCGCATAAATTAGTATATGAACATTCTATAATTTCTCAATGGATAATGCTACAACAACAAAAGGCCCGACAGATGGCTTGACATAACACACACAAGCACATGGGGTCAGAATCTTTTATTCAAGTGGGACCCACAGCAGTGTGAGGGGCGGTCACCGCTTCTAGCAAGCTTCTTCCGGCAGTTCAGCAAAATCCTTTCACAATAGTTCACTAAAGCAAACTTTGGTAAGATCATTCACTTACTCTTTAACTCCTCTGTTTAAGTACACTGCATAACTGCATTTTCTGACTTACTAACCTGGTTTCCAAGCCCTCTGCTCTCAAGCCTCGCCTTTGGATTCCTCGCCTCCATTCAATACGACCTTGCATACCTCGAACTATGTGTGGATTCCTAGGATCAGGTTGGCACCGGTGACCAACCAAACTGCGGCCGCAAACTGCCCCTTCACCGGAAACTCTATCTTGAGAAATAGAAGATACATTGGACGACGATGCATTTAAAAGCTTTGCATTCCCATCGTTAAAGCTTCTCCAAAGCTTGAGCGGGGGCGGACCTTTTTTCTTCGGTTTCTTTGATAAAGCCGAGGAAGTGGACTTGCCATGATGTTTAAAATGGTCATCTTCTGGTTTACCACTGGAAATGTACTTACACCCATTATTGTCATTTGCTGATTGCTCGAACTCCTCAAGATTGTAACTCGAATTCTGATCTTCAGCTTGGATCATAGTCTCCTTGTCACTTGAATGCATATTAGTGGTGCTTCTTGTAACACGCGAAGAATGACTGGTAGGACTACGACCAATGCAACGGTCCATTTCCCGTCCTTTCTCTACGTTAACTCTTGAACCCTCAACGATTGTGTGTATGTAATCTGGTTTTGGAGGCGTATGTGAGAATTCGTTTGTGCTTTGGAGTTCAATCTGGCTCTTCTTGGTCATATGACTCATATCTGTATTTACATTTGTCGATCTCAAGAATGTCTGGAGCTCTGCTATAATATTACTCATTGCAGAATATTTCTCCTCCAAAATCAGCTTTGCATTGACTAACGTCACCTGGACACGTTCTTCGTGCCAAGCCTCGACCATTTGCAGCATATTTTTCTCTTCTTCCACCTTCTCTAGGACTCGTCCGAGTTCTCTCTTCAACGCTACAATTTCAGCCTTTTCCTTCTCAATTTCTTTAGCTAGCTCAGTACATACATCCTGCAAAAACACTTTCGCCTTTTTCTCTCTCTCGTAATTCTGCACGAATTGCTTGGCCGATTTCTTGGAATCAGCAAGATTGCTAAGAAGTTTGGACTTAAGAATATCCACCTTTTGAAATTTTCTTCTTTCCATTATTGTGCTTTCCTTTAAGTGCTTGATTATTGCACTCATCTTTTGATGCTCTCGTCTAATCCATGAAGCCCTTTCTTCATCCAGCTTCCTCGTGAAGCTTTCGAGTTTCATCCTAGAAAACATTCGCTTTGCTTCAAGCTCTTTTATTCGATTTCGAGCTTCAACCAATTCAACTTGCAAAGCAGAAGCAACTGAGAAAGTTGCAATCTGTACTTTCGAGTAGCCACATTCCCACTTTGTTGTAGCTCCTTCCGTTGCATGATTAGGGGTTTCCATTGAAGAATTCAGCTGGATTAATGAATTAGAGAGAGAGTTTAGAAACTTCAATCTTGGTGATTTGAACCGGAGGGAAAAGGTGTCACATTATTAACATAAATTAATTACTACCTCGGACCCCTTGAAACAATCAAAGCAAAAAACCCAGAAACAATATAGAAGAGAAGATTCCTCATTCATCACTGTATTCTGACTAAATTATAGAAAAAGAAAATTTAAACTTGATGAACAGCAGCTTGGTGATGTAATAATCATGGAGGAGGGTCCCTTTGGGGAAGGAGTAAAAGCCATGTGGGAACTTGGGAATCAACAAGGGCACAACCTGCGATTTACCTCCACTAGTCACTGAGGGGCCGGGGGCTAGAGGTCCAGGATTTAGTCCAGCTAAGCTGGGACACCTGGGTTATCAAAAAAAAAAAAATAAATAAATAAATAAATGAACCCAACACCTTTATTTATAAATAAACTCTTGTCAGGGAAGTTGGCATCAATAGCTAAGATTTACTTGATCCAAGGGCCTTAATTAGTTGCAAGTTGCCATCCACCTTCTTTGATCACATGATAGCTAAATTGAAATTTGTTATCTTGCAAGTTGTCATGTTGTAAGGTGCTTGCCCCTTTCTAATTCTATGCTAGTTGGCATGTCATTTTCAATGAAGTGGCAAATCTACCCACCTCCCCCTCCGGCCAACATCATTGTTTCCCTTCCGCCGCCGGCGTAGACTCCGGTAACACGTCAACTTATCCCCACCTGACCGTGAATTTGGAGAAAGAATCGACTCAGTACCATCTGAAACCTTCATTCTTCGCCAAAAATCTGAGTTTCCATTACTGTCTGTAAAATGAAAGAACTCGGCTTTTTTGAATTTGAATGTGTACAAAAATATACATACACAAACACGTCCAGATGTGCTATATGCGATTTGTTTTGGAGTTTCGGGAAATTTGTCGAGGTGATGCACCGATGCAATTTTCCCTCCGAACAGGAGTTTATGGATGACAGTGTTGCCTGTGCGAGACAGGTGCTTTGATTTGTTGTCTTATATAGTATGTACACAGAATTTCATGCACAATCTTAGGTTCACTGCCGTAAAAAATTTGCGGGTCAAGTCACCAACATTATGGTATATGTTTAATTTGATCACTAAATTTTCTTTTTATTTCGACTTATCGTCAATATTTCAATTTTGCAGGTTAAGTCTAAGTACTTCGTCTCTCTTCTTTTGTTAAAATTTTGAATGATTGTATAGCTCACAAAATTGATGGCATAGCAAAATGGCAAAAATGTGTTTCAAAAATAGGATATAGATTTGAACTGCCTGCTACTTCAATAGGGGGCGCCACATGGACTCCCTTTTTTTGGCCGGGATTTGATCCTGGCCAAACAGGTTTTTCTTATAGATTTTGCGAGCTACCTCATGATAAATGGGAAAAGGGTTTTATTATCCAAAGTGAACCAATATTACACGTTTGGTGGATCTGGGGCGCTCTTTTTTTGGTTGAGATTTGACTCTGGCCAAATAGGTTTTTCTTATAGATTTTGCGAGCTACCTCATGATAAATGGGAAAAGGGTTTTATTATCCAAAGTGAACCAATATTACACGTTTGGTGGATCTGGGGCGCTCTTTTTTTGGTCGAGATTTGACTCTGGCCAAATAGGTTTTTCTTATAGATTTTGCGAGCTACCTCATGATAAATGGGAAAAGGGTTTTATTATCCAAAGTGAACCAATATTACACGTTTGGTGGATCTGGGGCGCTCTTTTTTTGGTCGAGATTTGACTCTGGCCAAACAGGTTTTTCTTATAGATTTTGTGAGCTACTTCATGATAAATGGAAAAAGGGTTTTATTATTCAAAGTGAACCAATATTACACGTCTGGTGGATCATGGTTACTATTTTTAAATCCAAATTTACTCCCAAGTTTTTTGGGTAAATATTTTCCCTTTCTGGGTTGGGCAAAAATTGTAGTTTCTTACGATACAAATTTATGGGCATCATGTGCTGGAAATAGGGGGCGACAAATCGTTTGGTGCAAATAAATTGTATTCCTAATCATTTTTATTACCCAACAACCGGTCACACCTAAACTACAATAAAACTATTTAAAATAAATAAATAAATAAATAAGAAACCAATGCACGTCGGCCAATCGGTAGTCCCTTTCTTGCTCAAATGAAGTGCTTGTCAAATGCATTTTTTATTCACATATTTCTGAGAATTTTTATCCTTATTTTAATTTAAACACTTCCAAACAAGCATGAGCAGAGGTGGATATAAAGGGGATTAGGTTGGGCTATAGTCTGGTCCAGTCCCCAGCCCATGTCTAGGACTAGACAAAACTTTCGAATTGAATTGGACCCGATTTGAATTGAACTGAATCGAGCGGTTATTCTTAAGTTTAATACCCGAACATGTATTTGAATCGAGAGTCGATGAGTTTGATTCGATTCTCGATTTTAGATAAAAAAATCGAATAAAAATCGAATCTCCCTAATTTTTTAAGTTTATTTATTTTAAATATGTCAAATTATTTTATTTTTTTCTAAATAATTTTGCTAACTAATTAATGTAGCTCAAACCCAAAAATATGATTTTCCTATTTTTAATTTTCGGTCCAAGTCCAATTTAATCAAATTGACCTAAATTTTACCCAAATATGTTATTTTACAATAATTTCGTTCCTATCATTTTGAAGAAATTGAATTGAAGTTCCACTGCGTCTCTCTTAATTATTGTGAGCTCGCTATCTTCCTCTTCCTATGATTTTAACAATCAAATCTATGAAGAATTTAGCAAAAAGAGACGCGAAAGATGTATAAGATTGGACTATATTATTTTATAAGAACTAAAACTGAACATGTCATTAATTAAATTAATGTAACTTTGTAAATATAAAAAATTTTAATTATAGTACAGAATTCGGGAACCGAACCGAACTAAACTAAATCCAAATGGCTCCATAATTAAATTTGAATCCGACTATTCCACTTATTAAATACTCGAAAATTTCAGATCCGATTTAGTTCTAAAGAAAACCGAAACGGACTATGTCCATGTCCACGTTCATTTTTTTCCTCTCTTTTTGGTTATTTTAAATTATTTTAATGGTTTTTGTCTTTATTAGTAATCAATTGTAGAGTAATTATTGTGTTTATATTTTAATTTTTTAATTGAAAATTATAAAGAAAATCATTGTATTTGTATGATTGTGCAATCAAATTATAGATAACTAATATTAAAAAGTAATAAAATATCGGGAATTATATTTTGGCAATCCTTATTTACCAAGTGTGAATAATATTAAATTATTAATATGGATATGGATATTCAAAGGGTGAATGTATGTGGACTATGAAGAAAATGAATTAATGTGCTTGGACAGGGCCACATGTGCCCTGGCCATAAAGCATATCTCAAAGAAAATTGTGGAGTTCGTTTTTTCAATATTTGTCTTTGATTTGAAGTAATTATATATAATAAAAACGACAATTAAAATTGTAGAATTCCTTTTTTTCAATGTTTGTCTTTTATTTGAAGTAATTACATATAATATAAAAAATCAACAATTAGGAATTTGTAAAATTTTATTATTAAATTTTTTGATATATTTATAATATTGCTACTTGCTTAATCAATTGCATTTTTATTCTCGACATTTGAAAGCCTTCATTTCATATTAATTTTTTTAATAATATTTAGATTCATGCCCCCTTACTTTACAGCATATTTAATAAGTACTTCACTTGCTCCCACGTCACTAGTTTTTCATTTATTTGATGATTACTATGGATAATTGTTTACATTTAAATGAATTTATTGAATTATTGTGCATTGCCGACTCTTTTGTATGTAAATTTTACTAATTGATTTCTTAAATTTCAATATCTTTAACAAAAATCCTAAATCTTCGCATGATCGGTATGAGGTATTCTAAACAAGGCAACTCTACCAAGAGTATGAAAATACTATTTGCCAAACAAAAAATTGGTATAGAAATACTAATAATTAAAATACAAATAATTAATTGATTGCTTGATTGTAATTTTAATCCCTTCGCTGACAGAATAAGTCATTGAAAAAATTATAAAGGAGCAGTCAGTTTGTAAAGTAAACTCGTGCTGGACGCAAATATCCATCGTGCAGCATGGGTTGACATGTGCCTCTCGAGGCATAGTTTAGTGGTACAAAGGACATGAGTGAGGTTATTCCACGTCTTGCTGGTAGTCGCAGTGTGATGATTCGATTTCTGAGATATGGAATTAGACTCATTGTAGGCGCAGTGTACATGCAGCTCTTGTTCTCTGACTTGTTGGAGTATATCCTGCGATTTACCTTCCTCACAAAATTCCAAGGGTGGGATGATGGAGCCCTTCAATGTTAGGGATCAACTTTTTTAGCATGAGTTGACATGAACTCTAATACCAAAATTGTTGAGTTTAAAAAGAAAATTGATTTTATTAACAGAATGGACTTGCACAATTTAGATTCACACATCAAGAACGTTAATCAATATAATAATATTAAACACATCTAACACTCTTGAAAACGCACGCCTCACTGCTCTCTCTCTCTCATCACTCCACTTTTACTTTTTCTTCTTCTCACTCTTTCTCAATTTCTCTGCTCACAATTTCTTTTCTTTGCATCTCTCTTTACACTACTAATACATGTTATGTTGCCTATCTGTTTCTGTGTTTCACCTCAAACACAATTGAGCATAGATACATATAGGAGTAAATGGCGGTAAAGAAAGAAACTCTAGAATGGCAGTGGATATTTAAATTAATGTATGTAATATTCTAGATCCTTCTTCTCTTTGCTGCAATTGCATTCTCTAGATTGTTCGTTGCTTTCTTCAAGAATTGAATAATTATGGTGTTCAAAAACTTTTTGCCTTTTTTTTTTTTTAATTTTATAATTTAGGTGTCTAAATTTCGCCTAACTAATTCTGAGGAGTGACGACCTTCTTCCCTAATTCACAAAATAGATAAATTTGGATACGATCATAGCTTATACACACTTGAGCCAGATATTCGGGATGTGGTTCTTTTCCCTGTAGGCATCCATTTACGACGTGCGACATGACCACCGGAGAGGCGACAAAGTGCACCATAACTTTGCCTTCACAGGAAAACTACCTTCCAATATAAATGTTGCCTTCTAGCTGTCGCGGGGATTCGAACCTCCGATACTCAGTAGAGAACCCTTCTGTTTTACCACTATGCTATGCCCGTGGAGGGGCAATTTTCTGCCTTTTCTTGCAACAATTGCTTATGGATTAAAAAAATTTGGAGCCTTCATATCAAGTAGGTGATGAAATATTCAATTCTCCACTTCAGCATCAATTTTTCATTTTAATTCTTTTCTTCTCATTATTCTCAATTGTGCTCAGAACTCTTTAAATTTTGAAGTATTGAGTCCTTTCGTTAAACATGTCTGTAAATTGTTCTTCAACGTTACATGTTTCAAGTTATCTCATCTCCTCTTCAAGCACATTTTATTCTAACGAAATGATAGTGCACTTTGACGTACATAGTTCTTGTATGGCACACTAGATTTTTTACTATACGAAAAACTGATTGGTTATCGTAATATAATTCTACTGCATATCTTACTAGTTGATTTAGATCATTCATCAACTATCTTAGTCATGTACTTTCTTGGGCTACCATCGCTGTTGCTCTATATTTCGGCTCTGCTGTTGACAAAAACACGGTTTGTTATCTCTTACTATACCATGATACTACAGTTGACTCAGGATTGAACGCATACCTTGTTCGCTAAAAGTGTATGTCGCAGG